AGTAATGCCCTTGCTGCTTTGCCTTCTTGGTTTCGTAGCCTGAGGTGAGGTGATGTGGCTCTCCACAAGAGACCAGGGCTCGGTTTGACTCCCTCACTCCTGACAGCTAGAACTGGCGCGTGAAGCACCAGCAGCTCCGTGCAGATCCTCTCACAGATGCCTCAATGCCCCAGATTTTAGGTGTCAGCACAGTGCTGACCCGCGCAGCCTGTGTCAGAGGCTTGGAGGAACCGGCTGGGGCGACTGTCCGTGTGTTGCACATAGTGACCTTCCAGCTGCCTTTCGAAGGCAGGATGAGGTGGTGCTGGTGGGAGAAGTCACCCCTGGAGGGACCCCGAGCAGGGAAGGAGCGTCCGTGCTGTAGCTGTCGATGCAGCCTTAGCTGAACTTGCGTTATTCGTGATTTCTTACAAAGACACTGGTGTGACGTAGCCTCTTCGGGAAGGAAGCGTGCGGAGATCAAGGTTTGGGGTCCGGAGGGGGTTGGAGGAGGTTGCTCTGGCCTTAAAGAGCAGGACACCTCAGGTCCGGGGGGTGGGACAGCCCAGGTGGTCACTTGGCATTGCTCTCTGGCACCGCAGTGGTTGGGCTCCGGCCGTGGGGACTTGCGTCGCAGGACGAGTGCAACTGTTAGTGGTGATCACCGGGACCGGTGCAGTTGTGGACCTGACCCCGGCTCCTCTTGGCAGCGTTGGCGTGGAGCTGGTTAGGCCTCGGGTTTCCAAAGACTTGCCATAGAGACTCTTCTCCCTGTGGGAGGCCTGTCTGCTGCCGGGTGCCCTCTCACGATGTTTCGGCAGGAGAGCTGGACTCCATTGGGGTCCTCTTGGCTCATTCTGTTGCTGGAGCCCTTCCCCACGACGGGCAGCGAGATCTTGTTTGTGGTGGGACGGGACCGGAGTAGGGGTGTGGGGACACCCCGGTGGCAGCAGGGATGTGGCTGTGGGGCCTCGTCAAACTGCATCCATCTCTCCTCCGTCCCAGGTCTCTGCCCTCGACCAGGAGATCATCGAAGTGGACCCGGACACCAAGGAAATGCTGAAGCTCCTGGTGAGTGGCCCCAGCTGTCCCCCTGCGTGGGGTAACCCTGCCAGGCTGGTGGCGCGTCCCCAGCAGCGATCCCGCTGCCCTGAGGGGCTTGATGGTGTCAGCTGAAGGCTTTGACGCTCTGGGCACATGGCGGGGGTCCCTCCGCCCTGGGACCTGCAGGCGGATTAATTCCCATACGCTCTTGGGAGAGGCAGGGTGGCTTTGCCCGGGACCCCGCCAGCAGGTTGGGTGTGCTCCTTGCCCTCCCCTCCTCCCGCAGCACCCTAGGGTGCCGACCGAAGGGCCTCCTCGTCAGCTCTCGCTGGGTGGAGGTGAACGTGGGTTTGCCCATAAAAAGACCAAATTCCCCCCGCCGATGAGCTGATCTCCACAGCAGGGTGGTCGTCTCCTCTTCTTTCTGGAGGCCTGAATCCACCCTTTGTGCTACCACAGCACGTTCACGCTTCCTGCTCCTCCCAGAAGGAATCTGCTTCTGCCCTCGGCAGGGTTGGGGGCGGATGGCGGGCAGGGCGGTGTGACCGACCCCAATCCCGTGCTGTTTTCCCGGACTTCGGCAG